TGATCTGCCCTGCCCTTCAGCTCAGAATCTAGTCATGGAGCAGATAATGCAAAGTAAGTAAAATATCATAATTGAAAAGAGATGTTTATATATAGTAAGCAAGGGGATCCCCAAATCTCTACTAGATGAGAGGCTATGAAGAGCAAGAGACTATAATATACTACACAATTGTTTGTAATTATTCCAGTTCCTGTAGAGTAGACTTTGTCAAACAAAATGGATAGGGCATTTGTCAGGACCAATTTCCTCTACTTTTTTTCTAATAAGAATTTTAAAAACTAGCCAATTCCAAGTTAAAAAGAGTCATGGTAAGTTTTTAATACTAGTTGGCCATATGTTGCTCTTTATTCCTTCATTTAAGCACTATGATTTTATATATATTGGTGAGCTAAATCTTAAACCATGCTGTTAATTATTATCTGTTATACAATTGTTTCCAACCAACAGCATGATAAAACAGTGAGGTAAAGAATGGAAAGGAGAGCAAAGGGCCCAACTTTATATTGAGGTGGGACTGGCTAATAGATTGGGGAGTTCAGTAATTTTATTCTTTGATTCTAACATTTCTCAAAGTGAATTCCATGATTGTATAATTTATGAAAAAATGATTTTATGGTCAATTAAATTTAGACTCAAATCCAGGACTTCTTGCTATGAAGCCAGCATTCTTTCCACTATCCCACAGGTATGGTAATGTATTTGTAGATTCTTTTATTTATTCAAGAAGCATTCTCTAGGTTCTTTCTCCATGCCAGTCAGTTCTCTGAATAGTAAACAAGTAAGTTATCAGATATAGGCACAGCTCTAAAGGAACAGAGAACTTACAGATGACTGAAGAAGTATGAGCACTTGGAAGCATGCGGTGTTGAGAGAAGCACAAATGTGGTGGGAATAAGGGATGGTCACGTGACATATTGTGGAGAAAGTTACATTTACTTGGAGACTGGGGGAAAGCAAAAGAAGCCTAATAACTGAGCCTGGAATGTCAACTGTGAGAGGAATTGGTAGTTGATGAGTCTCATGATAGGTAAGGGACAGTCATTTTGCAGAAAGCAAGGGGAAACCACTGCGAGATTTATAGTAGGATAACAGCATGACTGGGTAAGCCTTACCAACTCTTTAAACCTTCTTTTGTAAAAAATAGATATACTTTACAATATATTTAAAAAAAAACTTCTAAAGACTATGCCAATAGCAAATTTCATGGAATTCCTTTTTCAAGAAGATGACTAAGCATGCAGTAATGAAGTTCTGCTTCTTCAGAAGAATCTGAGTTTTCTCTCTGAGTGGTATGACTGTAAGCGACAAAATAAAACAATAAAAAGTCTGTTTATATTTAAAGAATAGAAGTCTTCCTGTTGAAAGAACTAGGCTTTGAGAGAGATGCAAACAAGATGTAAGCTGTGAAGCTGGATGTTCAGGAAACAGCTCTTAGCAACACTTAGTTAGCATTTGCATCCATTCAGTTGTTCTCACTGGAATAGAACACTCCCACTTTTAATTATGAAAATTTTCAAACAGGCAGAAAAATCGGAAAAATAGTACAATAAGCCATATATACCCTCACTTGGGTTTAATGTCACCGTATTTGCTTTCTCATTCTCATTTCTCCTTTTTTTAAATATATTTTTTGCACTTCTTTTTGCTGCTCCATTTGAGAATCAGATGCAGAAACATGTCACACCTAAATAATTTAGCATAAACCTAATAATAGCAGTTACCTGCATAATCATAATGTTAATATATTTTAAATATTTTATTAGACATCATGAAAACACAAAAAATCATCAAGAAAATTCAAATTGTCCTTATTTATAATACAAAGAAATAACCACAATTAATAATTCAGTATTTAACCTCTAAGGCCTTTATATATAAATATATTATCCTTACAAAAATATATCATTTTGTTTTTGTAACACATTTCTTTTCATGTTAACAAATATATGATTACTAATATATGGTATTGCTCACAGAATATTCCAATTTATAGATAGACCATAATTTATTTAACCAATCTTCTAAACTAGAGGCTCTATTTCCATTTTTTTCCCATTATCAATAGCTCTTCAAGGAACAGGAGATTGTTCTTTTTTTTAAACAAATTTTACTGCCTATGATCTCTTTTTGGACTTAGAAATCAAGCATACTTTGGGTTTATGTCTAATAAGGAAGATAGTAATAATTTAAAAAGCCAAGGACAACTTTTGATGTGACAAGGTAAATTAAATTTTTGATAGATTATCTTGGAGATCATTACAGTTTAATTTTAAGAAAGAAGTTAGTTAAAAACACATAGCTCAGAATTTAAAACAACACTAAAAATAATTTTTCCAACCAAGTTCTCCTTTCAACACTTATTAAACAAAAAGGTCAGGTTAATCAGGAACACAGCCACCTAAATGCATTTTTCCAAGGGTAATACATTAAAAAAAATGCCAGACAACACGATAGTAAATTAGCTCCTTATCAATAGTCAATCAAGATTATGTCTATTAAATTATTAAAGTTTCAGCATATTCAACGACTTAGGATCTTGATAAACTTGAAAGAAAGGAAAGGGAAAGATATTGAACATAAAATTCTCAGGATGGTATCTGTAAGAAGGAAAAACCTAAGAAAAGGAGAAAAGAATAATATAAGAAATTATATCAATCACTTGTTTCTTCTGTACAATCAGGACACGGTGCTAAGACTCTGGCACGATTTTAAGTCCACCCACCCTCAACATGGCTCTCTACCGCTCTTTTCCTTTTGCTTCTTTTCTTTTTGTTGTTTTCTGCTTCTGTTTTGGTTCTCAAAACTTCACTTTCCCTGGATACTGCTAAGCAATAAGACCTCCTTTCTCTCTTTAGGGCACCCATTATTCTACATCCATCATGTATAATGTTTGATACGTTCTTGGTTATAGGTTTAGTTTAAAAGTATTTTAAGAGACCACTCTAAGATTACAAATACTATTTTGACATTATGTCTTCTAGCTTTAGCCAAAAAAATTCCAGAATAAGAAATTATGTTCCACAGCTGTCCTTTCCTCCACCTATGTGTAATAGTTGTACTATTGATTCTTTGGCCTATGTAAGCTAACATTTCCTCATCCACAAAAGTTACTATGCTAGACGTCTACTGCATGAGGTACTGGGGCTACAAAGATAAAGTCAAATATTCTGGCTCTTGAATAGGAAGCCTCAGCAATGTAATCTAGTTACATTTTACCACATACAGTCCAGCTACTGAAAACCATTAAGAGTCAGGTAAAATGATCTGGCTATCAATATTCAGAGTATCTTTTCAAGTCTTCTCAAGTATTTCTCTACATGATAGATAAAATCCAGACAAGGTCCTGTCAAGAATATTTAATTGTTTAAAGATATTTGCAAAAGATATATCCAGTAAGGGATTAATATCCAAAATATGTAAAGAACTCATACAACTCAAGACCAAAACAACAAATAATCCAACGAAAAAATGTGCAGAAGACCTAAAGAGGCATTTTCTAAAAAAGACATGGAGATGGCCAATAGACACATGAAAAGATGTGCAACATCACTCATCATCAGGAAAATGCAAATCAAAACCACAATGAGATAACATCTCACACCAATCAGAATGGCTAGTATCAAAAAGACTAGAAATAACAAATGGTGGTGAGACTGTGGAGAAAGGGTAACCCTCGTATACTGCTGGTGGGAATTTAAATTGATGCAGCCGCTCTGGAAAACAATTTGGAGGGTGCCCAAAAAAAAAACTAAAATTGGAAGTACCATACCATCCAGTAATTACATTTCTGGGTATTTACCAAAAGAAAATGAAAACACTAATTCAAAAAGATGTATGCACCTCTATGTTCACTGCAGCATTATTTACAAGAGCCAAGATATGGAGGCAATGCAATGTAAGTATCTATTGACAGATAAATGGATAAGGAAAATGTGGTATATATATATGATGGAATATGATTTCACCATAAAAAAGAACGATATCTTGCCATTCACAAGAGTGTGGATGGACCTAGAGGATATTATGCTAAGTAAGTCAGAGGAAGACAAATGCCGTATGATTTCACTTATATGTGGAATCAAAAAAACAAATGAACAAATATACCACCACCAACAACAAAAAGAGAATTAGACTCATAAATAATAGAGAACTAACTAGTGATTGCCAGAGGGGAAGGCAGTGGGGGATGGGTGAAATAGGTGAAGAAGATAAGGGGAACAAACTTCAGTCACAAAATAAGTCATGGGGTTGAAAAGTGCGCATAGGGAATATACTCAATAATACTGTAATAACTGTGTATGGTGACAGGTGGTAATTAGACTTATCCTAGGCTTATCATGGTGAGCTTTTTATAACACATATAATTATCAGATCACTATGTTGTATACCCGAAACAAATATTCTATGTCAACTATACTTCAGTTAAAATTTAAAAAAGAATAATTTAGTTGTTTATTCAGCCTTCACAAGGGCACAGCCCTCCTCCATGGGAGAAACTGCACAAAAAGTCCTAAGAAATCAAGGGACGACCCCTTTAGGAAGCAATCCATGGCATACAGGACATTACGGTTCCATCACCCTCGTAGCCAATAAAATCCTACAGCATCCAGGCAGTATTCCAAGAACTTTCTAACTTTAAAAAAGCCACATTTGATGTCAGTTATAGGAAGGAATTTTAAGAGGAGGCCCTTAGCCTTCTATAAAAAATGAAACTGCCATTCCCTATTCCTCCATTAGAACAGAATATACAGTAAATCACAATTATATCACAACAAAACATTAGCCAAATTATTTCCATTTCAGACATTTAACTTAGTTTGGGAAAGTAAACTTATTTAAGATTTTTCTAAAGAAACTGGATTCTATAAAATTTTAAGGAAGAGAAAACAGCCAAGATTAATTCTTAATCTGGGAGATATTTTGTAAGATTATGATATTCCTTGTCTTAAAGGAACGTGATTTCTTTAAGTTGTTTTTATCACCAATTACAGTTTACATACCTGTGTGGCTACGGATATGAACTCTCAGTGTACCACTGCTGGCAAATTTCTGGCCACAATATGGGCAGATTTTCTCCTTTTCTCCTGTATGGGTCTAAATGGAAAGGAATAAAAAGGGTTGAGGATAAATATAAAGAATTAGGTTAAAATGATTAAGTACCTCTGACAATGGTAAATCCTTTTTTCCAGGATTATGTTTCATTAAGATGATTTAATATCACAATGAGATTTTAAACAATTTATCATGAGTATTCCCACTGATTCAAAAAATAAAATAAAATAAAAACCCAAACCTTAGAATCATGCATTAGTGCTAATTTGAAAATGATTCTGCAGTTTACTTTTTAAGCCTTTATGGAGCCCCCAAGTAAAAGCGATTAAGTTATACAAAACCAGTATATGCTGGCAAAACCACATAATCAAAATGGGGTTAAAGCTGCCCTTTACTGCTGCCAAGAAACACTTCCTTAGAAGCATTTTTCACATTCTTTGTGTGTATTTAACTCTTGAGTACAGAATTAATCTCAATAAAGTAATCTGTTATTTGCATTATGCTTGCCTGACTGGATTGATTTTATGGCAAAGCAAAAAGAAATATAAATCCGATTTGATCTTTAAAATCAGCAGTGTTAATTGAGCAGTCAATTTGAAAGAACATCCTTGCCCTCCACATACCTTTAATCTCAGCATAAAACAACCACACAAGGAAAGGTGAATATGTATCATCAAAAGTGAATTTTGCCGGAATGTTAGAGAGTTCAAAGAAAAGAGTAAGCTCTCCCAAAAAGAGGAGGCCGATGGGAGATTTTTAAACTTGTCTCACAATCTCATCAGGAGACCATTTATTCTACCAGCATCAAAATAGGTCATTCCAATAAATGAGGGGGTCAGAGCTACTTTTCAAGTCCCATTGTTTTTCAAACTTAGGAGAAGGGGAAAAGAAGGGAGAAGGAAATTACTTTAGATATCTGCACATTCTCAGTGACACTTTTTTAAAATTTTTTTTCATTTCAACGATGACCTACACATCAATGAAAGCATACAGTGGATCATCTGCGTTACCACCAGAACGCAGAGTTTCCAGGGCCTGTGTTTGCATTAGGTTTGTGCAAATTACTGGCATGGCCATGGGCTAATGTAAAAAGAATAGGAAAGTTTTTTTTATGTTTTTTTTTTTTTTTTTTCCGCATTGGCCGGGATTGAGTGAAGCGGGGGGGTAGGGCAGTTACCTCATCTCAGAAAACCACCAAAGTAGCAAAACATTCTCTATATTAATTGCTAACTTTAATATAATTAGTTTCATAGCCTTATTGGTATTTAATTTGAAAATTTTCACATTTGAATTATAATGTGCATTTGGATAGACACTATTGTATTTGTAGTTTTTAAAAGAGTTATAAACTAAATACCTTAGTCAACATCAGTGTCCTTTTAAATATTTTTCCATTGAAAATGATTTACATTATATTCAAGTTTGAGAAATACAGTCTAACCAACTGCCACGCTAGCCAATGACCCTGGCTACAACAGACACCTCCTTGATTCTGCATTTGGCAGGAACTTAACTTTCCATTTTCACTCTAAGTTCTTATACAAAACAGTTATACATTCTTTACTGTAAGAGCTGTTACTCCCATGGTCCCCATTATGGCTCATTTTAAAGGAAATGGTATAACATTTTAACATATAGCAGACCTATTTTCTTCTCATTCCCTGACAGAAGGGGCAAAATACAATAATTCTTTCTTGATTAGTGTATGGTTGTTTAGAAATTGTATATATCTATTATTACAACATTGGATTATTCCAAAGAGGCAGCTATCAATTTATTTATAGTATCTATATAAAATCCACAGCATTTCTTTTGCTGCTACATAAGTATTTCATTGCTCACCTACATGACCTAAGTTACTTTTCAGTGGCATAAGTTTCAAACTGAACAACTTTAAGTCAACATTAATGAAAAGAATTAAAATGCTTCTTTAGTTTAATTCAAAAATGTATCATCTTATTAGATATGGAATTTGGTTAATTGGTTTTAAAAGACATTTAAGGTACAATACTAAAATATCTTAAATATAGATAAGAAAGCATGGAAACAGATCACTCTGATAATACTGGATAAATGTATGAGACAAAAATGAACAATGCTCTGCAAAATGTACTATACGACAATCTGTGATTGTGGACAAGCAACTATTATCTCTCTTGAAAACTCACTATTTTTTCCCACATTGATTAAAACATGACACAAGTTTATTAAATTCATGCAAAAAAGTAATTCAAGCAAAGACAGTTGAAAGACTGTCTTATCCAGAAATTTGAAAAAAGAAGACAATATCATTATTACTGAACATTAAAGAAACAGGAAAAGAACGTTCAATTCAGTCCTTTGACACAGCCATACTAAGGACAGGTACCAAAATAAAAGTCACACTGAAGCAGGAATCACTTCCTCACATTCACTCAGCAGTACACACCAAGTAGCCGAATCTATTACTTCATAGTCATTTCTAGAGTCAACATTAAAACTTATAATGGTGTTTGTTACACTATGAATTTTGCTATTTTTGAAAATACACTTAAAATGTACTTACAAAACAAATAAAAATAACCTCTTGATATGCCTACAGTAATTAGCATAACACAAAAAAGATAATCTCCAAATCACCGTAAGTAAGAACCTCATTTTATTTGAGTTAAGCAAATACTTATCAAGTCCCTCTTCTGTGCCAGGAACCTCCCTAGGCCCTAGAGATGCAAGATGAAGAAGGACCATTCCAATCCTAGAAAAGAGCTCAATCTAATAACTTGTCAATAAACACCTGAATTTTTAGTTTTGAAAAATAAAATTAAGGCACTAATCATTTTTTAGATAAAAACCCACAATAATTCAAAAATGTACAAAAATTGACAAGCTCCCACTCATCAAATACTTTGTTTGACCCATCTATCACCATAGCTCAGTGCTATGCAGAATCCATACCTAAATCTAGGTTCACCTTCATCCAAATTATATATCTCTTCTGAAAAAGTAAAGAGAGCATTTATTAAAGAGCTCATATAAACCATGCATCCCTTGTCATTTTGAGGAAATATGTTGATTAATTAATATAAAATTGATTATCACATGATAATTAGCATACATGCCTACATTGCTGAAGTATGTAACCCATTTAAACTCACAGAAGGCTTCTACTTACTTTCTTATGACTTCTAAGCACTGAAGGTGTAACAAATGCCTTATTACATAGCTCACATCTGTATTTCTTGTGTCTTTCATGGACCACCTGGACGTGAACATTTAAGGTATCCTTCCTTTTAAAGGTAGCCTCACAGTGATGGCACTTGAAAGTCCTCTCACCTGAGAAATGAAAAAGTCAAATAAGAGAAAGATCAGATGCAATAGCAGGGTGATGTTAACTCTCCCTCATGGGTTCCAGACGTAGTGTTCTTTTCTCCAAAAAGTTAGCTTTATTACTAACAATTTATCATAACCAGAAAAGGTAATTTTTCACAACTTTCAATTCCATATTTGCTCATTCATTATGTGACCAGTGGGAAGTACTTTAACCTTCTTATGTTCTCAGCCTCTTTCATTGGAAAAGGTGGAGACTCAGCTAATTTTCTAAAGGAACCATGAACTTTCTTTAAGAAAGTAGGTCTTTCTAGGGCAGGGGCTCAGGTTTGAAGTAAGTAGATTCTTGTGACAAAAGGCTTCTGTCAAGCAGAGTTAGTGGCTTTTGGGGTCTCTCCTAAACTCCCCTCACTCCACAACCTTTATGGACTTTAAGGGACAGGGCACAAGCAGAATAGGGTCATGGGTAGCACAGTGGGGAAGGAAGCCCCTGGGGGCACACAGAAATAGGTCAGAGCCAGCCCCCTTCTAGGACAGGAGAGGGCTACAACACCCCTTTACTTCCTCAGCACTATCTCAGGAACTTGGAATAGAGGCACCCTAACATGGTCCTTGGTCTGCTAATTAATTCATTAGCCAGGGAAGGGGCACAGCTCCCAGGCTCTCCTCAGACAGGTTAGGGGGCTGCCTCTCAGAGAGGCAGTTGGATTGGGACAATTATCCTTTTCTACCAAAGAGCCCCGGCGTACCTTTGAGGGTTTTCACCTTGTTCTCATTCTATAGCCCAGGCCCACAGGGAAAGCAACTCCACAAACTATGTTTAGGGGTTGTATGGTATGGTACTTTTTAAACTTTCATATAATGCTATCCTGGTAGGTCTTCTTAACAAACACGTCTACCTTTTAGTGGTCTATTTAAATACATTAAATACATTTAAGCAATGCATGTGCACAATTAGAAGGCAGTTTTATCTCTCAGGAATTTTAACACAATTATATAAATTAGACAGACTAGTATTTGTTTTTTTTTAAAGATTTTATTTATTTATTTGACAGAGAGAGAGAACACAAGTAGGCAGAGTGGCAGGCAGAGAGAGAGGGAGAAGCAGGCTCCCTGCTGAGCAGCGAGCCTGATGCGGGGCTCGATCCCAGGACCCTGGGATCATGACCTGAGCCCAAGGCAGACGCTTAACCGACTGAGCCACCCAGGCACCCCTAGACAGACTAGTATTTGAACATATTTTCCCTTTTTAAAGAACAATTATATTAGTACAGATTCACATATTATATTCATTATAAGACAAAATATACAGATAACTTTCTACATTGAAATAAGAGATTACCTCAGTTTCAACCAAACTCATCTCATTTCCCTCCATTACAACTAGCATAGATTTAGAAATGTGAAGATCTTATTATTTCTTCATACCAAATTTAAAGAAGGAAGGACAAAAAGAAGGAAAAAAGAAAAAAAGAAAAAGACAAATGACCCTTTTCAAACAGAATTATGGCTCTTTAACGTAAGATCTCTGAGAGCCCTGTTGAAATCTGATGCTTGGAACAAAGTCACACCCAAACCATGCAAGAACTGTGGAGATTCTGAGAGCTATGTTTGTATGTTGCCTTTGTGCATTTTTGTTGCTGGGTGCTATTACTAGTTTGTCTTTACATATCTTTTTAGATTTATTTAAATACTTTATTTGTATAAAATGTATAACCAGTGAGAGTAAAAGAAAGTATCAATGACATGAGACTATAAATAATACCAAAGCAACTCAGGAACAAAGAGAAATTAAAAAACAAAAACAAGGGGTGCCTGGGTGGCTGAGTCGGTTAAGGGTCAAACTCTTGGTTTCAGCTCGGGTCATGATCTCAGGGTCACAGGTCCAGCCCTGTGTCTTAGGGCTCTGTGCTCAGCAGGGTGTCTGCTTAGGATTCCCTCCCTCTCCTTCTCCCTCTGCTCCTCCCCAACCCCCCCTCTCAAAATAAATGAGTAAATCTTTACAATTAAGTAAACAAAAAAAAAGAAAACAAAAGAGTAAACCTCCAAGATTTCTCCTATTAAAGCATTTCTATTAAACTATCACATGAATCAAAATATTGATTCCTATACAAAGACCTCTTCAAGCTATACCAAGGGAGGCCTTACCTTTCTTCTTTCATATTTTAATTACAGATTTCTTTGTTTTAAGCTTATCAGAATTTTTTAACTCTGATGAGATTTAATCTGATGTTATCAGATTTCTTTGCCTTAAAGAAATAAACATAGGATTAAAGATAGGATTTTTCCTATCTTAAAACCAAGAAGCTATTTAGTAATCTGCCTTTTGGTTTTCAGTGTGTTAGAAAATAGCAGTAATTCCCAAAGTTATTATGACAAGCTATTCTTCGTATTTTAAGCCAGAATGCTGATAGAAGTTTCTAAAACAGCCTGCATGTTTTGAAGTTAAACAGGTTTTAATTTTCATATTGTGTAAGATAACATCTAGTATTTTGTCTTATTCTGTCTACTTCTGGTTTTTCCCATCCTTTTAGCTGACTCGCCTTATCTGATGTTTAACTTTACCTTCAATAACCCACTTACTCAGTCAACTACAAAGCTGATTTTCCAGCCAAATGTCTTGGTGCAGCTTCATAAAGCCTGTGATTAATGTACTGATCGACATTATATTAAATACAGAGTGTGCAAGCAGAGTCTACACCACTGCTTCAATCCTCTGTCTCAAGTATATGAGAACCAATCAGCAGAAATCAAAAGTAGCAGATTCCTTATAATAAATATTCCTTGTCGCTATTGAAATTAAATTTTCATCTGTCTAAAGAAAAATTTCCTGAGCATCAGGCCAAATTTGGCCACAGAAGTCTTAACAGTATTAATGAGGTTCACTAGTCCCAAATCCCTACTCTAAAACCCATTCATCTCATAAGATTGTCTTTCTTAATCAAATGAGAGCGAAATGGGATGGAAATTCCTGCTGTTACATGAGAAATTTTATTTCTTAAATGCATGGCTGTCCTTAATAAAGAAACAGAAAGTGGTGTTGACCAATTCTCCAGAGCTATAAGGTCAAATGCAGAATGGCACAAGACCTTACCACTATAGGAAAAGAGGCATTTCGTCATGATCGTTACCACTCGGTATTTTTAAAAACTTTAATATCTTCAGCATTTTGAGTTTTAGACACTTCTATTTGACCAGAGAAAATTTCTTCCAAGACACTATCTTATCCGTACACTTGTCACAACTGATTAATTGTTTCGCTTTCCTCAGAAATATTAAAAGTTTAATCAGCAGTAGGAACTTTGTTTCAGAAGATGTTCCACTAACTAAACAATTCAAAAGCAATCAATACAAAGATTACCTACGTTATGCCATTTTTCTTTACTTTTAGATACTTTTAGATACAGTAATGCAGCAAATGTCCAGTTACTTTGATATCTGAACCCACTTTAAAACTCAGCTTAGCAATAGCATTTTCTCTGAAATAAAGTGATGTAAAGTGGCCTTTCAGCGATGTGGGTATAAGGTGCTATATTCTAAATACAGCTCTGAGTGTACCTGCCTTACAAATTTGCATTGTGTGTATGTGTGTAACTTCTCTCAAAAGAAAAAGAAGTGCTCCTGCCAAAAGAAGTAAGAAGTTATTAGATATGTAGATATTAGAAGTTATTAGATATGTACTCTGATCTTTTCCAACTTTAAAAGTCTGTGAGCTAATAAAACCATGCCAGACATCTGCGTGTTTTAAAGGGTCAGACATGTTTCCTTAATCATTATATTTAAAAGGGAACAAAAATGTCTATTTCAGAACAAATTTCAAAGGTACCTTACTGAATATAAGAGAAGATTTTATATACAAACCTTAAATAGTGCAAAGAAATGATATAAAATAAAATGTCTCATAAAATGATTTATCTTAATGTGGAAAATAAAGCAAGGATAAAGGAAGAAAAGGTGAAAAGCAGGATTATCAGCCCTGTTTATGTTCAAAAGCAGATCACATAACCACATATAGGTCCACTTCTGTGATGCCTACATTCTCAAAAGTTGTAAGAACGAAGTTTGAGATAATTCACTTTGTCCTCAACTGCTTGTATTGTGACTTACTGTTATGTATGAGCAGGTGTCTCTGCAAAGAAAATGGGGTTCGGAACAAAGCTTTACATTCCTCACACTGGAATGGTCTCTCTTCAGAATGGGTCTGCAGATGAAAGAAACTGTGAATCAGGCGGATCTAGAATCATCTAATCATGACAATAACTGGAGCTTGTATTCATGATGTGGGAGAGGAATGGGAAGGTAGACAATATCTTGTTTCTTCTGATGATGTTCTTTCACTATAAAACCGTGGACACAAATATGCAAAACAACTGTATTTTTAAGTTCTCACATTAATTATAAATTTGATAAGTAATAAAGGAAATTGTCCCTATAATCTCAAAATGCTAATCTGAATATACACAGACTTCTCAGGATTTACTCTGCAGAGTAAAATGATTTGTAATTTCTCTGAAGACTAAAACTTCTTTTTTACTGGACAGGCTTTCACTATGCTACTATAACATTTTCAACATAATCAAAGGAAACTGGTAAAAGGAGACAGTTTCCACCTTCTATCCTCAACTTCACTGAATAAGTTCCAATAATTTTTAGTCCTAGATACCCTTTTCCTCCTAAATTAAACTAGAACATTTACTCATACTTAAACCAGGTAATATTCATTAAATATTTATTTTGTGTCACTGCTGTACTCAACACTTTACATGAATTTTTTCACTTAATTCTAACAGTAATTGGATGGACAACATACTATTACTGTCCCCATTTTACAGATGAAAAAACTAAGGCTCAAAGAATTTCAGTAACTTGCCTGAGATCAAACAATGTACATGCAGCAAGCACCTTTAAACACACAACAAACAAAAATACACTGAGAAACAAGAAACAACAGAAAACCAGAAATAAAAACAATACAAACAACAAAACAGTATGCTTATTCACTTCACTTTTTTTATTGCACATCAGTATTAACCTGTTTGGCACAAGTCAGTGTATAAAATCCTATTCTACCATGGATGGCAAGATAACAAAGCTCATAAATGCTAAAATACCAAAAATTGAACTATTTTCTCTTATGATAATAAAACAAATCATATAATTCATTAGTTTTTATGATACATGTGGTATAAAAATAAAGGGAATAAATAAAGCACTTTATTCATAGCATATTTAAACATTTTCTTAATGTACATTATAAAATTCAAGATATAAGTATTACCTATTAATATAATGTTGGTGAAAAAGGGATTATCCTGCCTGTTTTCAGTTGTAAAAAATATAAAGGATGAGGGGAACAAATATTTAAAACTTGGGATAAACTACACATATTCAAATGTGTTATTTAGCCACATAAATGAACATGATAGCTGGGAATAAAATAGAACAGAGAGTAAGTTTCTTTCATTACATAAAATATATGGACACTTAGTATAGGAAAATAGGGTCCTTCAAATTGGTAGGAGAATAGTGGACTGTTTAGTGAACGGTTTTGAGGCAACTGTATAGACATTTAGGAAAAAATTAAACTGGATCTATTATTCATTCACCCCTTTCAATAAATCCCATTTGAATTCAGCCTTTTTTGCAAATGTGAAAAATAAACTGTAAATATACTAGAAGAAAATATGAGTGAATTGTTAAATACTTTTTGAGCAGGAAAAGGCTTTCTAAGCATGGCAGAAACTCAGATATGCAGATGAGAGAAGGCATTAAATTTAAAACTGCAAGGCAAAAATGTTTGGTGACAAAGAAAATATTTGCAACATGAAATAAAAATTTTAAGCTGCTAATATAAGGAGTTATGGCACATTAACAGGAAAAAAATGAAAACTCCAAAGAAAAGGGGCAAAAAGACTTCTCCAAGTAGCACTCTTGCAATATCCTTCATTACTTATTTTGTACCCAGGCCATGCTATGCACTTCATGCCCTTATGTGTCAGTCCTGTTGTACACACTGGGGATATAGCAGTAAAAACAGAAGACTAAGTCCCTGCTGTCATGGAGCTCTCACACTGGCAAAGAGAGAAAGACAAGGAACAAATGATAAAATATGAAATACATTCTGTAGAGAAAAAAAGGAAGGGAAAGGGGATAGCAAAAGTTTCAAAGAATGGGGTATCAATTTTAAACAGAAATTCTAGCTGAGAAGGTGACTTGAGAGAAGAACTGATGGAGGTGAGGGAGCAAGGGCATGTCTCCCTCAGAGGCAGCTGGGCAGGAAACACTATGGAGGCCAGTGTGGCTGGAGTACATGTGGAAGAAGCACAGAAGTGGGGAGATGAGGCCAGAAAAAAAATGGGCAAAGAATGGGAAGGAGAAGCGAATCATGTAGGGCCTGGCTGGCCACTGTAGGAATTTTGTCTTTTACTGAAAAAGATAAAAAACCTCAAATGAGTTTTGAGCATATGAGTGGCATGATTCACTTGACATTTAATAGGATACTAAGGTGGCTGTGCTGAGAAAAGGATAGAGGGGAACAAGGCAAAGCAGAGAAACTGGAAAAGAACAGCAATAAACCAAACAAGAGATAATTAAGGCCTATATCAGAGTGGTAGCTACCATTGTAAAGAGAAGTGGTAGATTTCTGGATATATGAGGCAAGTCAACAGGTTTTGTGGAGAGCCTTGAATTTGAAGCATGAGACACGGGAAAGAAGATCTAAGATTGTGACCAGAGTGATGGTAGGCTGGATCAGCCATTAACTAACACATGAAAGAGCAAGCAAGAAACAAGTCTGGTGAAAGATAAGAGGGGTTCAGTTTTGGGTGGGTGCAAATGACTAATCAAAGATGTCTAGTAGACAGTGGGACCTTTCAAGTCTGCATTATAGTGTAGAATATTTGGGGATGTCAGATTATATATTGTTAGTACTTAAAGCCAAGAGTACAATGAGAGAATAAGAGTTAAAAAAAAAAAAGACTCTCTGTGGTATATCAGATCAGCAGAAGTGAGGAGAATGGATATTACTCATTGTTGACAAAAAGGTAAGATCGAGCAATCTTATATCTTATAACCGGGAATGTACATTTTCTGAGTGGCAGTGTGGCTCTATTGACCAAACTGACAAATGCACATACTCTTTGACTAACCAACTCCCTTGACAGACACAGATCTGGCAATTATTTACATAAACAAAAACTTTTTATAAAAACCTCCTAAATGCCCACTGGCAGATATAAACCTGATAACTAAATCTGACTGGCTACTGTATATTTATTTTGGTATGGAAAACCCACTATACCATATTTTGAGTGTCAAAAGCACAATGCAAACCATTATAGATAGAATACCATTTGCTGCATACATACACACATGTAGAATGGGATGTAGGAAGATGTCCTACGAAATGCTGAGGAGGTTTCTCATAGTAAAGTGGAGAGTGGTATCTGACAGAGCTTTTGCTTTCTTCTTTACACCTTTCTTTGATGTTTTAGTTTTCTACAAAGAGTAGATTATATTATTACAAAAAGAAAGAAACTCTTTTGTTTTTAGAGCATCCATATTGGAACAAAGGGTTGCTTTAGTCTTCCAAAAATATGATATTCCACCCTAACCAATTCTTTCTCTTTTTCCAAATCTAGGACAATACAACGTGTGGCTATGATTTAGCAGCTTGATGATGAAATAACTTGGGACAGCATGAAGCCTCACGCCTATGTTAACCAAACCAAAGCCACAACAACTAGATACAGCCTGAAGTCAAGAGCTATTTTAAGTAGTAAGCTGTTAGCGCATAGGCCGGTGAATAAATATTTTTGTCAAAGATTCCAATACCACCAACGGAGTTGTGATGGCATGACTTGTAAAAGTCTTGGCATAATATACTTTACAAGTACCAGATAAAATTCAGCTTTTTAAAGGGTGCTTATGCTTCAGTTTTTCATTTCTACAGGGTGCCAAACTTCTCAGACTTATTAATTACATTATCCTTCAGCTATAGAACATTCCCCCACTTAAATGCCAAGTCACCAATGACACCAATATCTGCTGGTAATAACAAATGAACTCGTCCATGAACTATACATATATATTTTATGTATCATATCATATATCTTTTTATGCACCAAGTCTGATCGTTGTTGCAGATGTAGAAAACACATAAGAAAATGTGTTCCACTATTTATAACACCTAATAAAATGTCTCAAGAATGCTTCAGGTTTTCAACATAATTTTTATACAATAATCACCAAATTAGCATATTTCTAGCTATACAAACCAAATATTAATTTCGTGAGAACAGAATAAAATTTTCATCAGGCCCAATCACAATTAAAAATTATGACCATGACTATCACCAGTATATATTGCTCTGTATTAACAGTATTACTAGAAATGATATTTTTTCTTTTTTTTTCAAGATTTTTATTTATTTATTTATTGAGAGAGAGAATGGTAGAGAGAGAGCATGAGAGGGAGGAAGGTCAGAGGGAGAAGCAGACTCCCTGCTGAACAGGGAGCCTGATGCGGGACTCGATCCCGGGACTCCAGGATCATGACCTGAGCCGAAGGCAGTCGCTTAACCAACTGAGCCACCCAGGCACCCTAGAAATGATATTTTTTCTTTGGGTCATGCGCAAAGCAAGAAAACTATCTTGAAATTCAGAGAAATAACAAGAGCTAAAATTAAATTGAAGAAAATATCCCTGAGATATACGTGTCAGAACTATTCTTTTTTCTTAAAAAAAAAAAAAAAGACTTTTGTTATTGAAGTCTCAAGTCTGCATATCATAAGCATATTACTATCCCACTGGGTCACATAATAAACCTAAAGCTGCATAGAATGTGTGTCATCTGGCTGTTTACAAGGTCTGTGGATTAAATTTTTACTGTCAGCTTTATAACTGGCTTCCTTAAAGGGCCTCGTCCTCACAAAAATGAATGGAAACTAGAGAGATATCAAAGAAATCAACTCAGCACAGGAAAAGGTAGCTTATTTCACACAGATAAGTTAAGACTATAAAATTGAGGCTAGGCTCTTCCAGAAGCATAGCCTTTCATGGCCAAGCCCAACCTTTCCACTGCTTGAAAAGCCACAATTTCATTAGTACAAAGCTGTAACTCCACAGAGCCAACTAGTAAAGGCCTCAAGTTTATACACTGATCAGGGCAAAGGGAATTTGCTAAAAGAAGGAATAACCATA